TTTGATGTCTGGAAAATACCCCCTTAAGGGGCCAGTAATAAAAGCTAAAGAAAGAAGGTAGAAAATGTCCCTCTGATACAAAAATTAGCTTCGTCTTCCTTTGAATTCCAGGGGGCATTTCAAAGTGCTGGGAGTGCTGAGGCCTGAAGCGTCCTGGAGCTCACCGATCCAGTGCTGCTCAGTACACACCGAAACGCTCAGACAGCCAGGGAGTAAGGCAGGCTCTGTACTGGGAGAGAAATTCAAAGCACTGCACGGTGACACAGGGAGTAGCAGAGACGGCACAGTGTGTGCTGCAGCATGTCTCGAGAAGAGCATAGATTCCATTGTGCAGAGGAAACTGTCTAGAGCAGAGAGAGAACCAGCAAAGGGGCTTTTAGGGCTGTCGTCAACAGAGCTGTTGTTTTTTAAGTGTATTGAGCGTCTTCATCTGGGGAAACTAAACCACGTGAATGAAATTACACCGAAGCGAGAAGCTCGGCCAGCACAACACGATGCCCCCTGGTATATATATTTTTTTAAGGTGAATTTTCCAAGAATCAATATGGGAATTGTTATGAAAAAATACAATGCAAAAGAACAAAGCTCGGAGAGCCAGACAAGGAACTCTAGTGACCCGCAGCCACGTAAAGCCTGGGAGCTTCATGCAGGACTTCTCGTGTTCAAAGAACAACCGGCTCTCAAGAAAACGCTGTGCGACTGAGCTGTGCTCCGGAAGGATGGATGCAGGAAAGTAAGGAAGAGACTCAGCTCCCAACTGAGGCAGGGCCTGACCCCGAGGAGAGTTGTGCATCCAGACACTGACGTAGCGGGACCCCAGTGGAAGTCCTACAGTAACGTCTGCCGCAAAGAGGGATCCTGTGTCTTTAAACAGCGGAGGCTGGTGTCTTTGGAAGGTGCTAGGTCAAACTGCCAGGGACAGGTGTGTTCAGAGCCAGGGGAGGGTAGAGATGCAGGTACATTAAAAAAATTGAGAAAGGAGAGGGGCCAGCATGAGAGTCCTGTACTTCCACTGAGGGTCCATCAACAGGAGTAGGAAAGAGAAGAAATAAGGTGGGGAAGGAAAACGACACACAGGTGGGTGTGTTGGGGTGGGTGTGACAAAGTTTTACATCCCAGGTGCTGTTGGCCTGGAGCTAGTGGAGGTGGTGGTGTCATCTGGGTCCCTCTCTCTGGCCCGGTCTGGTCAGGATGTCTTTAGGATTAGGATGACGAAGGCCCGGCCTCCCAGGAGACGGTGGGCGTGGCAGCCATTACGGTGAAGCTCACTCCTTCCCCTTCTGGTGTCTTTCAGTCAGCCAATGTAGCAATCCATCGACCTCTCCCCCGCCCCTCAAAGCCTCTTGGTTCAAGGACCCCCGAAGGGGAGAGATGGGCAGAACCACTTGTCCTCTCGTTCTTTTGGCCACAGCTTAGGCCTAGTTTTCGCCACACCAGTTTGGGCTCACTGATTTCCGTTCTCTCACTTTTCTGGCTCACCGGGCATGATCTTAACAATGTCCTTGAGTTCTATCCAGCGGCCTGTTTGCTGGGACTAGGTCAGTCTGTCTGTCTTGCTTTCGTGCCTTTTCCCATCAACATTTGCTGTCCTAGGTTACCCTTATAGTGACGTTTTTGTGACTTTTCACTCACGTTTTACAGTTGAGCTGGCAATTAGGGTAATTTGTTGCTGCCTAGGCCAGTGTCCTTCGTTCCTGTGAGGCTGGGCTGGGTTTGTCCCAGACCTGCCCTGATGAGGTGTGAACTGCCTCTCTGCTCCTGGAGAGTTGTGCCTGGGCTTGTTTTAAGCCATGCAGACACATTTTCAGCCTCATCACCATATACATGAAATTACAACCTATAACATCACTATATCAACAATGCTCAGTACATCATGAGCCTTCCGACGACACCCGACATGACAAACTTTGCATTGGATACCACACAATCATATTATAAGGATGAACATGGGGGTGCAGGGTGTTCCCCCGAGGTACAGAGTGTCACAGTGATTCAATTCAATTTATTTGACAGTAAACCTGGATGTTCTAAGTGCCACAGGTGGTTGTATTGATGGGGCCTTCCTGCATCCTAGGAGCTGTCGGGAGGGAAGTTGGGAGTTTTGGTAGCTAGTATGGGGGCAGTAGGGCACTGAGGGTGATGTGCCAGGCCCTGTGGGAGCCATGGAAACCTGGGTACCTTTGCTAAAATCATCAGCAATGAAGGCTCCAGGGGTTGGACTGGGCCACCTTGGGGGCATGGCCAGTGCCCAGCCCCCCGCAGAATGTATATGCGTTGTGTAGACGGCTGTAGTGTCACAGACCCCATCAGCGCCCACCCCTCCTACCTGCATGGCTCCAGGAGCTGGGGGCAGCGCATAGCCATTAGCTTGTTCCAAGGGGGTTGGATGGTGAACGAGGGAGAGACTAATCAATACGTTAAGCTGCTTTAAAAAAAATCAGATGAAGTTGTGACTCAGGAAATTTACTTTTACCAGGGTAAAGCAACAACCTCCTCCTATTTCGCTCCTTCCTGCGCGATCACTGTCGCCGCTGAGAAACTGACCCCTGTAGCGTACGAATGGCCCACGTGCTGGGGGGGGGGATGTACAGTGCGCTGCGAAGCAGATGCTCCCTTAAATGCTGCTCGTCGACAGAAGGCCCAATCCTGAGGGTTGCTGAGCTCTCAAAACTCCTGTTGATGTTCCGGGGAGCTGCAAAGGCCCCGCACCGCTCAGGATTGGGCCTGCTGTTTGCAAAGCGCGTTGGGATTCTCTGGGAGGAAGATGCTTTATTAAACGCATGATATTACACAATCTGAATGCTCCAGAAGGCTTTGAACATGATTAAGAGCTACGGGCTGGAAAGGCAGCTTGAGAGGCCAAGTGACATGAGGACAGTTCTAATACAATTAAGTAGCAAAAGCGCCATAAAAAGAGGCAGACAGCCGGGGTACGGAAAGCACTTTCCCTGTTAACCACTAGAGGGAGCTGTTATATCAATTAAGTCTCTATTTGCTACTGGGGATGGAGAGTTTATTTTGCTCCCAGGTTACTAGACAGGAACCAGGAGGAGGCTGAATTTGATACAGTCATTTTGCTGGGCTGTGAAAGGGCATGAGCGTTTCCGAGTATTGCATGGAAAGGGACTGTCTGAGAGTGAGGCCAAGGAAAGAATCTATCTTACCATGATCGACTCCTCTCGATTCCTCGCTCCTTCTATGTGCTCTCACAGCACTTGTGTCTGCAAACCCTAGATGCCGGCTGGGGCTTGGGATTTTAGTATTTGTTTTAAACCGTCTTTCTGGAAAGGGCTACAAAGTTCAGCTGCACAAAGGGTTACAAATGCCGCTGGCGTGTTCCCTGAGCACCGCGCCGGATTCCTGCTCGTTTATACACAGCAAGCAAGGAAGAGGAGCTCGGATCCGTCTTGTGCAGAGGTGCTGCAGGGTTCTGATCCGCATTTCTTACTAGTCTAATCTCTGTGCTACAGAAAACTCTCTGCTTGTTTGGGGCCGGGTGATCCTCTTTGGATACCCGTTCAGACGCTGGGCATGTAAACGGCCCCTCATTTGCATGCAGAGAAACTCTCAGGACATTCTTCCTCCTGACGCTAATGAGCGCAGCCGGCCGCTCGGGGGTACACTGGAGTCATGTCCAATCCCGTGTGTGATGAGAATACAATCGAGCACCCCCCGCAGCCCTAGCTCACAGGGCCTGCTGCTCATGTCAGTTACTCAGGGGTGACTCAGCGACTCCGCTGAAGCCGAGGGGGTGAGGGTTTCACTGGGGTTCGTGAGAGGAGCATCAGGCCTAATGAACCCGTGTTGGTTTCAAGTCGTATCCTTCATCCAAATCTGCTGTTCGCTATGACAATGAATCATGCAGGGCCAGATGGTGCCTAGCCCTTAGATGGGGGCGTGGAGGGGGTGGGCGGCGGAAGGACCCTTATCCCCCACCCCTTTCCCTGGCTTATGTAAGTGTAGGCGGAATTACAGCCCTGGCACCTGGAGTGTGCAGGGGTTACTCCCGCCCTGCTCCCTGGCTGCAGACAATGCCAGGACTCTGCCCCATCTGTGCATGAACCAACGGAGCCGTCCGGGCATGCGGGACTTCGCTGCCCCCTGCAAAGAAGGCAGCCGGGATGCAGCCCCTGAGTGTCTGCACACTACTCTGGGCCAGATCCTGAGCTGGTGTAAATTGGGGTAGCGTCACTGCAGCCAATGGAGCTACCCTGATTTATACCAGCTCAGAATCTGGCCCCATGAGTTCCCCTTGTAGGTATGTACAGATGGTGACCAAGTTGCCCTGTGGTAGGATGGGTTCCCCCGGCCCCCTCCCCCGGTCAGGATGAAGTTAAAGAGCTCCTCTGGGCACAGTCCGCCCCAAACCAGCCATCGGTGCGGCTTGTCAAACCTGGAGAGGGGCAGCCCCTCGAAAGGGGGGATCCAAGCCCGGTGCAGGCTGGCACTCGGAGGGAAGCAGGGTTGGAGCTCCCAAGCCCCTCCAAGAAGGAGCTGTGGATCAGGAAAGCTGCCGAAGATCCTCTGCAGAGGTAGAGGGGCCATCTGTAGTTTGCTTTGCTTCCCCTAGAGCCCAGGGTGCTGAGTCTGGGCCCCCCGAGGCCCAGGGGGGTTAGAAACCCAGCCTCCCTTCCTGAGGGCGATTTGCCTTGCGCGGGGCGAGCCCGGGCTGTTTTGTGGGCTGCAGGATTGTTTGGTTTGTCATTTTGGACTGCAGCCAGGAGGCCCCACAGTCGTTCGGCGGGAAGGGGCGGAGTGGGGGCGGGGCCTTGGGGGCAGAGCACCCCCGGGGAAAAGGAAAAGTCAGCCCTATGTGTGTGTCCCACCGTTAGAAGACTTTATCCTAAGAACAACCTCAGAAATCACAGAGGCCGTTCATGTGCTGGCCTCTGATACCATCCGTTCAAAGGCCGCGGCTCAGATTTCACAGGCAAATAGTCGTTGGCTCTGCTTAGAGAGAATATAATTGAAATCTTTAATTGTTTCTGAAAACAGGAACATGCCAGGCGGCTGCTGACTTTCCAGGTCATGAGTTCCCCCGGTTCTGAGTCACACCCGCGCTGGCAAACGCCAGCGATAGCGCAATAAGGTGCCAGGGAACAAGAGACTGTGTGTTAGTTCTGGGCCCCCCATGGGGCAGACCTCGTGTGACCTGGATGACTGTGCGCTGTGTTCTGCAGAAAGCTGCTGCTTCCTCCTCCGACAGTCTTTCTCCGAGGGTGTCCAGAGCCTCGCTGCCTTCTCCCTCTACCTGGCGATGGCCTGGGTTACCTTAACAGCAGCATATTCAGAATGTTCTTCTGGGGCGCTCTTCTTGGGCGGCTGGAGCCCGGCCGTGTGCTGCAGGTCAGCGTAGAGCACGTCTGGGTCTTTGCTATCACCGGGCTAAAATGAAAGGGTTCATGCATTGGTTCCTGGGTGCAGTAGCGAGCTGTGTACGCGCTGAGTTATGCACGAGCACAGGCACGGTATGGTATCCCTGTGTTTAGAAGAACAAACTGCCCTCGGCTTATCCCTCTGAATTACTCCCTGGCCCACTGTGGTGTAGCTTTGAACCCAGCGAGCAGGGAGGAGGAAAAGAGGAGAGATTGCAAAGTTACGGTCAGCCCGAACCAGCCAGTTTCCTCCCCCTGCTCTCCAAGCAGTTTATTTCTTCATCCCCTCTCTGCTCTCAGCACCTAGGGCCATCAGAGCGGTACGTGCATGCCCTGGTTTGCGCTGGATGCTGTACCGTTCAATAAAACATCCCCACGCGGCGTGCAAAGTCCCGACTTCTCTGGGTACAGTCCATGCCTGGCACCGAAGGGGTTAATGCCAGCTGGGCTGCCAGTGAATCACACACAGACGCTAGGTTTAAAAAAAGAATGCGAAGGCTCTAGAGAAACCCCAACAGGAACCTGAGCCTTGCGGCTGAAACGCCACCCAAGCTGCAGTGCGCCACGGGGGAAGTAGCCACAGGCTGGAAAATCTCCCTGTGCCTGAGCGACAGCAGGGGCTGGAAGGGGTTCAACTCTGCTACCAATGCAAGCCAGGAAAATCAAGGTGACCCCTTCCTGGGCCAAGTACTGCTTCCCGCTGCAGCCCCTTTCCTGGTAACGTCCGGGAATAGCCGGGCTGTCCTTGGGTACGTCTACACTGCAGTTGGAGGTGTGATTGCAGCACATGTAGGAGTCCTGAGCTAGCTTTCATCTAAACAGCTTGTCAAGATTGCAGTGTAGTGGAGGTGGACTGGGCTTGCCACCTGAGCAGGTCCCCGGGTCCCCAGCGGGCTCGTACCCAGGGCGGCATGCTGCCGTCCTTGCCACCGTGGCCGCACTGCTATCGTTAGCAAGCTAGCTCGGGTTTGTCTACATGTGCTGCAGTGACACCTCCTGACTGCAGTGTAGACAGGGCCAGAGAGGCCCCTGGTGGGAATGTCCCCCACCTAGGAATAGCGTATAAGGCTGCCGTAATGTGGCCCTATGCTGTCTCCCCTCACAGCCCCCACTTTTGGGGCAGCCCAGGGGTGGAGGGGGAGGTGTGACAGGGTGCAGACCAGCCCCCTCCCCCCAGTTGTGAGAGGCCCAGCACAGAACTCTGTGACCCCGGTGTTTTAACAGCGACGACGGGGCGATGAGCCTGATTCTCCCCCGGTTACACTGGTGTCGCTGCGTTGGCCTCAGTGGAATTACTCCCGCCTTACACCAGTGAGAGAAGAACCCAGCCAGTGCCTCTGCGCGCCGCTGGGAGGTGGCGCAGGCTGGAAAGTGACAGCCCAGATGGCCTCTTGGGCCACTCAGTGAACCCATTTGGGAGGCCAGAAGGGGAGCAGCCGGGGAGCTCCCCTGCGCCCCAGCTGGGGCTGCTGCGCTGGGTTTTGTGCAGCCTCAGACATCCTGGGAACGGGACCAAATGCCCGCGGCCCCTATGCGTCAGGCCAAAACCCTGCGGGCCTGGTCCTAGGAAGCAGTGAGGAGCCCCAGTGCAGTTGGGGGTATGTCCAGAGGTGAAAGTAAGCCAATACGTCACGGCATCCTGGACTGGCTTCCCAGGCCAGTGATTTAAAGGCCCGGGGATTTAAAAGTCCTGCCCCTTCTGGTTGAGGCCACGCCCCTTCTGGTTGAGGTCCCGCCCCCCTGCTCAGGACTCCGGCGTACCAGTAAGTCCTTTAAGTTACTTTCACCCCTGCGTACGTCTCCACTTAAAGCTGGGGGTGCGATTCCCAGGTCGAGGAGACACACTCACGCAAGAGTGAAGCCACGGCGGTGCGAGTGGCGTAAGGGGCCGAACATGCCTATGGTCTCAGACGCGTGTGTACCCAGGGGGCCCGGCTAGCCTCTCCCGTTCTCCCGCTGCTGCAGCTACACTCTGGTGTTAGCACCCAAGCGTGATCCGAGCCAGTGCAGGTCACACGTCCTACCGCACCCCTAGCTTGAGCTGTGAACTCTCCCTTTGTATCAGCATCATGCCATACCTGGCTCTGAGTCCTCGTGTTCTCGGGAAAGGGAGTCTGAGACCTGTGGGAAAGAGAATCCTAATGAGACACAGAGAAGAGGATTTTCCCCCCCAAGAACTAAACTGTGTAGACGCAAAGCAGCTGAGCCCATCCCAGAGACAGAATCTGGCCCTGAAAGGTTGGCCAGGGTTCTTGACCAAACCTGGAATCGGCTTTGTATTCGGGGGTGATTTTGGAGGAGGACATTCTGTGCGCTTGCTTGTTATATTGCTTTGCTGGACTCTTAAATACCAAGGTAACAGGTGCCTGAGAAACGCCTAGGCACAGAGAGATGTCCCAGCATAGAGACAAACTACCGGGGTCTGGCTTCAGGTAGAATTCAAGTCACAATAACAGGGCACAGCTCTGTGTTATGGATAAAGGATCTTTTACAGAACAAAATGCGGTGAGGGGATTAAGCCAGGAGGCTGTTGGGTCAGACAGAGAGAGAACGGGTGAGACTGAGTTAGCTTGACTAACAGAGTTGTTGGAGTAACACCAATTTTATACACACCTGGCTGTGCCGGGGCTCCTACCTAGATGGGCAGAGGAAAGAAACAACAGGGTCAGTCAGTCGTGCTAGGAGCAGCAAATATCCCTGGAGTAAATGGAACAGGCTGGTTGAACCACGGCACTCACCTCTCTTCTTTCTCACAAAGAAGTAAGTGAAGACAAGGAGTAAAACGACCAAGAGGACACAGACTGTGCCGGCAGCAGCAGCCACCGTTGGACCCTGGGAGTAATCTGAGGAAACAGAACCTAGAGGCACAAGTTGCACTTCAGGGGTGGGAGAGACCATTCTGCAGCTATATATACATAAATAACTGACGGGTGGGTTTGTCTGCGATGCTTCTGTACCGCGGTCCACAGTCACCTTCCAGGACTGCCTGGGAGACTGGGTACCAAAAAGGAATTGGAATGGCTCCTTTATGAGCATACATTTGATCTAGGTCAGGGGTGACCAACCTGTGGCTCCGGAGCCACATGCGGCTTCAGAAGTTAATATGCGGCTCCTTGTACAGGCACCGACTCCGGGGCTGGAGCTACAGGCGCTAACTTGCTCAGCGTTTAGCTAATCGCCATATTTGGGGGCGGGAAGGAATTTTCCTCCAGGGCAGATTGGCACAGGCCCTGGAGGTTTTTTGCCTTCCTCTGCAGCGTGGGGCATGGGTCACTTGCTGGAGGATTCTCTGCACCTTGAGGTCTTTAAACCACGATTTGAGGACTTCAATAACTCAGGCATAGGTTAGGGGTTTGTTACAGGAGTGGGTGAGTGAGATTCTGAGGCCTGCGTTGTGCAGGAGGTCAGACTAGATGATCATAATGGTCCCTTCTGACCTTAAAGTCTATGAGTCTAACTTTCGAATGTGCCGGGGGGTGCTCACTGCTCAACCCCCTGTCTCTGCCACAGGCCCTGCCCCCACTCCACCCCTTCCCGCCCCCTCCCCTGAGCCTGCCGTGCCCTTGCTCCTCTCCCTTCCCTCCCAGAGCCTCCTGCATGCCACAAAACAGCTGATCGGGAGGTGCGGGGAGGGAGGAGGAGGTGCTGGTCGGTGGCGCTGCCGGTGGGCGGGAGGCGCGCGGCGGGGGGGAGCTGATGGGGAGCTGCTGATGTATTACCGGGGCTCTTTGGCAATGTATGTTGGCAAATTCTGGCTCCTTCTCAGGCTCAGGTTGGCCACCCCTGGTCTAGGTGGTGTTACTGACACCTGGTGGGAGGATGCGCACTATTGGAATGTTAAAATCAACAGTTACAACCTCTTTAGGAAAGAGAGAGTGGGCAAAAGGGGAGAGGGCGCGACACTCTGTGTCAAAGATGGCATACCTGTTTCTGAGTCACTGATAACTTAGAAGAAAATGATTTTGAATGCTTATGGATCAATGTCCTAACAGGAGCACCAGATGGGCTATTAATTGGAGTCTGCTACAGACTCCCAAATTGTACTAGGGAACGGGATGGGGCACTTCAATTTGAGTGACATATGCTAGGGGTCTCATGCTGCCAGGATTAAAACATCCTGGGAATTTCTAAACACTATAGATGACAATTTACTAACACAAAAAGTGTTGCATCCACCACAGGGGAATTCTATATTACACCTTGTCATGATAGATAAAGAGGAACTGAACACAGAACTAAAAAACAATGCTATCTTAGGTACAGGTCGTCATGATTTGATCATATTTATGATGTGCAAACAGAATAAAGTCCAGACAGGTGATATAGATATATACATGGTGCATTCAAAGGGCCAGTTTCACAAAGCTGAAAATAATTATGAGCCAAATCACGTGGGAAGAAGAATTTAATCAGAAAAAAGTGAATAATTAGGAATTGTTTAAGAACACTCTACTAGATGCCCCAAAAGCCCCAATCGATGAAGAAGGCCATGTTGGTTAAAAAACCTACCTAGTTTAAAGAGGCAATGAAGGCAGCTATTATTTATATCTATATAAATAAAACAATTGGAAGAAAAGGAAAGTTGATAGTAATGAATATAAATCAGAAGCTAGGAATGTTAGAAAATTTATAAGGGAAGCAAAGGGCTACAAGGCAAAAATCTATGACCAGCAGAGTTAAGGACAATAAGGAGTTTTTAAAATATATTAGGAACAAAAAGAATCCTAACAACGGAACTGATCCATTACTTGAAAATGGTAGAATTATCAGTAATAATGGAGAAAAGGCAGAAGTGTTCAATAAATATTTCTGTTCTATACTTGGGGAAAAACCATATCATATAGTCATGTCATATGACAACACTCTTTCCATTCCACTAGTATCTCTGGAGGATGTTAAACAGTAGCTACTAAAGTCAGATATTTTTAGATTGGCAGGTCTGGATAACTTGCATTCAAGAGTTTTAAAAGAGCTGGCTGAGGCGCTCACTGGACCATTAATGCTGATTTTCAATAAGTCTTAGAACACCCCAGAAGTTCCAGAAGACTGGAAGAAAGCTAATGTTGTGCAATATTTTAAAAAGTAAGCAGGATGATCTAGGTAATGATAGGCCTGCCAGTCTGACATCAACCCCTGGCAAGATGATGGAGGAGCTGCTATGGGACTTGATTAATAAAGAATTAAAGAAGGGTAATATAATGAATGCCAATCAATGTGGGTTTATGGAAAATAAATCCTGTTTAACTTAATATCTTTTTTTGATGAGATTACAAGTTTGGTAAAGGTAATAGTGGTAATATACTTGAACTTCTGTAAGGCATTTGACGCAGGATATTTTGACTGAAAAACTAGAAAGATATAAAATGAACACGGCACACGTTAAGTGGATTAAAAACTGGCTAACTGATAGGTCTCAAAATGTAACTGTAAACCGGGAGTCATCATCGAAAGAATGTTTCCAGAGGGATCCTGCAGGGATCAGTTCTTGGCCCTACGCTATTAAACATTTTTATTAATGACCCGGAAGAAAACATAAAAACACCACTGATAAAGTGAACAGATGACACAAAAATTGGGGAATGGTAAATAATGAAGAGGCCAGGTCACTGGTACAGAGTGATATGGATTGCTTGGTACTCTGTGCACAAATAAAACAATATGTTTTTAACATGGCTAAATGCGAATATATACATCTAGGAACACAGGACAAGGCTCCATTCACACAATGGGGGACTCTAGCCTGGGAAGCAGGGACTCTGGAAAAGATTTGGGGGTCATGGTGGCTAATCAGCTGAACACGAGCTCCCAGCATGATGCAGTGGCCAAAAAGGCTAATGTGATCCTTGGATACACAAACAGGGGTAGAAGTAGAGAGGTTATTTTATCTCTGGATTTGGCACTGGTGCAACTGCTGCTGGAATCCTGTGTCCAGTTCTGGTGCCCCCAATACAGGAAGGATGTTGAGGAATTGGAAGGGGTCAGAGAAAAGCCACGAGAATGATTGAAAGGATTCGAAAACTTGTCTTATAGTGATCGACTCCAGGAGCTCAATCTGTTTAGCTTAACAAAGAGAAGGTTAAGGGATGGCTTGATCATATTCTATAAGTACCTACATTAGGGGAACACATTTAATAATGGGCTCTGCAGTCTAGAAAGGTATAACACGACCCAGTGGCTGGAAGTTGAAGCTAAACAAGGCGTACATTTTTTAACAGTGTGAGTAATTAACCACTGGAAAAACTTCCCAGGGGCTGTGAGGATTCTCCATCCCTGACAATGTTTAAATCAAGACTGGGAAGTTTTTCTAACAGATCCGCTCTAGGGATTTTCTGGGGCAGTTCTCTGGCCTGTGCTATGCAGGAAGTCTGGCTAGGCATAAAGGTCCCTTCTGGCCTTGGAATCTATGTTAAAAACCCAGGCCAGGATTCAGGGGGACGCTGTGTGGTGACAGTGGGCAGCACAGGCTGTGTTAGTCTGGAAGCTGGAGAGCCACAGGGTGTGCCTGTGTCCTGCAGCCTTGCTAAGATTCATCATTATCTCAGGTACTGCTGAGTCCGGTGTCTTCTCTACTGCACAAGCAGGGCCGGCTCCAGGCACCAGGCACCCAAGCTGGTGCTTGGGGCGGCACCTGGAGGGGGGCGGCGCGGCGGCGGCCGGGGAGA